GTGTCTGGGCCCTGGAAGCCCCAACAAGCTAGGCTCAGCCACTGTTCCCCCCAAATGCCAGACACGTAACAGTGAGAAAACAAAAATAATTATTCAGTGTGTATGGTGATATTTTAATAAATAAAGTTGCCCGGAGGTCAGAGCTATTAGCAAGTCATAGGAAAGCAGGGCAGTGGTGGTGTACGCTTGTAATCCCAGCATTTGGTAGGCAGAGCTAGGTAAGTCTCTGTGTGTTCAGGGATACAGCCAGCATTGGAGACACATGCCTTTAATCTCAATACCTTGGAGGTCTGTACAGACAGGCAGTGACGAGGCAGTCATGTGGTTGGGTTTACAACCAATGAGAAGGCAGAACAGGAACTCTATATAAAGACTTTAACACAGGGGTAGCTCTGGTTCGGAGAGGTAGGACCACCGCAGGAGGAAGGGTAAGGTTTTAGCTCTTAGCTCTGACCTCTTGGCTTTCTTCTTTGCATTGGTTCTGTGTTTCTTACTTAAAAAGACGGTTGGTTACATCTACAAGTGTAGACATGGTGGGAAGATAAAAGGTGTGTCGAACTTCTAGCCCTATCTTCAGGGTCTTGACGTGAGTTTTGTTATTTTTTAAGACTTATTGCCAGGCGGTGCTGACACTTATATTTAATCCCAGCACTTGGGAGGCATATGCAGGCAGGCAGATCTCGGTGAGTTCTAGGCCAGCCTGGTCTACAGAACCAGTTCCAGGACAACCAGGGCTGTCTCAAAAAACCCAAACCAACACAAACCAAAACCCAAAACAACAAAAGATTTATGTGTACGACTGTTTTGTCCCCCTGGAATGTGTACCACATACACGGTAAGTAGCCTCAGAGGCTAGAAGAGGGTGTTGGATCCCCTGGAACTGGAGTTACAAATGGCTTTGAGTCACTATATGGATGCTGGGAATCAAAACCGGGTCCTCTGAAGAGGAGCCAGTGTTCTTAACCACTGAGCCATCTCTCCAGCCCCATGAGGTTTAAATTTAAATAAAGGGCACAGTTTAGGCGTTCTGGTCAAGATGAGGCCCTGCCCATCACTGACCCATTCAGTTTATCCTGCACAGGGGTCTGAGAAGTACTGACCTCTGCAGCTTCTTCCCGGAAGACAAGCTCCCTCCCTGACTGGCACCCAGCTTCTGCTTTTCTTCCTGCCCTACTCCAAGACTGCGTGGAATTCCAGGAGAAATTCTGATCCCATGGGTTCCTTGTTCAAATTGGTCTCTAGATAAAGGAAGGGAGTTGCAGATCTCTTAACATATCTTAATTCCTGCCAGGAATGAAGGTTACGATAACAAACTTCAAATTCCCCACTTAAAACAAAAACAGGAACTTGAAAATCCCTGAAAAGGAAAAAAAAAAAAGATCATTTTTTGTGTTACTGACAAATCAGTTTAAATTTGACATAACAAAAATGAACCCCTCTCCAATCTGTTCCCCCTTTGAAAACATGGGAACACATTGGGAATGGTGATGTCCATCTCTAACTCAGTCCCCAGGAGGCTGAGGTAAGTAGATCTCTGTGAGTTTCAGGCCGGCCAGAGCTAGTGAGACCCTGTCTAAAAAAACCAACATTCAGACAAAACTGGGGTGGGAGTGGAAAGCCGGCTCAGGGGCTTAAGAGCACCTATTGTTTTTGCAAAGGACCTAGGTGTGCTTTCCAGGACCCAGATGGTGACTCACCAGGGGATCTGAGGCCCTCCTCTGACCACAGGCACCAGAGACGCATGGTGCATATACATATATGCAGGCAAAACACACACATAAATAAATCTTGTAAAAGTGGGGAGCATCCCTTCTCTATATACATGTGTACATGGTGTGAGTGTGCATGTGTGTATATTTGTGTGGAAAGTGGGGGCAGCTTTGGTCAGGCATTGTTCACCTTTTTATTTTTACTTAAAAAAAATTCAGCCGGGTGGTGGTGGTGCACAACTTTAATCCCAGCACTCAGGAGGCAGAGGCAGGCGGATCTCTGAGTTTGAGGCCAGCCTGGGCTACAGTGAGTTCCAGGACAGGCTCCAAAAGCTACACAGAAAAACCATGTCTCAAAAAGACAAAACAAAACAAAAAGTGTGGGTGTGCATGTGCTCCACATGAAATCATGGACTGGTCCACTATGTTGGTCCTAGGGATCACACCCAGGTCCTCAGGCTTGTACAAGTGCTTTAGCTGCTGGTCTAGCAGGCCTCCTTTTTAAAAGCATACACTACCACATCCAGGTTTAGTTACGCTTTCCATACTCGTTCCTTATGTTTGAGGGGTTAGAGGTTAACTCTAACGACTGAGCTATCTCAACAACCAATATAAAAACTATCAAGCTTTCAAGCCAGGCAGTGGTGGCTCATGCCCTAATTCCAGCAGAAGCAGGGCCAGGTGGATCTCTGAGTTGAGGCCAGCCTGGACTAGAGTGAATTTCAGGACTACATAGAGAAACCCTGTCTCGGAAAACAAAACAAACTATCAAGTTTTCATATCACATTAAAATATGATAGCGTTTTCAAGTGTCTCTGAAGTCAGGTTTGGTGGCACATTCCTTTAATCCTACTACTACTGGGGAGGCAGAGGCAGTGAGTTCCAGGTCAGGAGAGGTAAGACCACCGCAGGAGGAAGGTCCTACCTCTCCTGACTAGTCTCAAAACACACACAGAGCTCCACAGTGAGACTGTCTTTAAACACACACATACAAACCACAAAAAGCCTGTTTAAGTATTTCTTTTTTCTTTCTTTCTTTTTTTTTTTTGGAGACAGGGTTTCACTATGCAGCCCTGGCTATCTTGCAACTATGTAGACCAGGCTGGCCTCAAACTCAGAATCTGCCTGCTTCTGCCTCCTGAGTGCTGGAACTAAAAGCATGTGACACCAATGCCCTGATTATTTCCTAAAAGTTGTATATTCCAATTATCACTGTGTACATGTGCAGCAGTGTAACACGTGGAAGTCAGAGGCAGCTTTGTAGAGTGGCTTGCTTTTCACTGTGGGCTCTAGGGACTGAACTACGGTTGCATAGCAAGTGTCTTTACCTGCTGAGCCATCTCAACCTATTTTTAAAAAAAATTTCATTTAAGACAAAAATTTAGCTGGGCAGTGGTAGCCTGTGTCTTTAATTCTAGCAGAGGCAGGCAGATCTGAGTTCAAAGCCAGCCTAATCTAGAGTGAGTTCCAGGACATCAAGGGCTACAGAGAAACCCTGACTCAAAAAAAAAAGCAAAAACCAAATTATGTGGTGAGTGTTTGAGTGTTTTGCCTGTATGTACATACATGTACCATGTGCATTCTTAGTACCTGCAGTTACAGATGATTGTAAGCCACCATGTAGGTCCTGAGTGTTATCCCTCGGATGACATCCACCTTGTTTTTTTAAAACAGGGTCTCTCATTGGCTTGGAACTCGCCAAGTAGGCTATCTTGTCTGTTTCCATACCCCCAGCAAAGAAATTATATATGCATGCACTATCATCCCCAGACAGTCTTATGTCATCAGATAGGGAGCCTAAAATGAGAAAATGTCTCCTGCAGGCAAGCCTATCAAGCATTTTCTTAATGACTCTTGGGAGAGGGCCCAGCCCTGGGCTGGTAGCCCTGGGTTCTAAATGGCCAAGCAAGCCATGGGGAACAAGCTAATAAGCAGCACCCATCCATGGCCTCTGCCTCCAGTTCCTGCCCTGACTTCTTTCGATGCTGAAGAGTGTTGTAGAGGTGTAAGCCAAATAAATCCTTTCCTCCCCTACTTGCTTTATGGTCCCCGAGTCTCATCACAACAATCGTAACCCTGGCTAAGACAGGCCTTTAAACACTTCACTAACTGGGCTTTCTCCCTAGTCCCTTTCAACTCTAGCCCTGGATGGTCTGAAAATCTCTATTACCAACCACCCCTTTGAGAAAAGTTTTATATCCTCACCCAGGTTAACTAAAATTCTAGTCTATGATTTGTCTGCCTTAGCTGCCTAGGAGGTGGGACCACAGACACATGATAAACATACCTGCTGGCTCAAGTTACTTGTGGCCTCCCATGTAATAGAAATGCTCTAGCCGGGCAGTGGTGGCGCATGACTTCAGTCCTAGCACTCTGGAGGCAGAGGCAGGAGGATATACATAAATTTGAGGCCAGCCTGGTTTATAAAGTGAGTTCCAGGACAGCCAGGCCTACACAGAGAAACCTGTCTCAAAAAAAAAAAAAAAAAAAAAAAAAGGTAAGATGGCTCTGTTGGCAAACAAATAGTCAATCCTGATGACCAGAGTCCTGTATCTAGAGAATCCCACATGGCAGGGGAGATCTAAGATCTATTACCTAGCAAGTTCTCTTGGGATCTGCACACAAATTCCACAGCATGCACACCCCTACGAAACAAATAAATTTAATTTAAAAAAAAAAAAAATGGGGGCGGGAGAGATGGCTCAGAGATTAAGAGCACTGACTGCTCTTCCAGAGGTCCTGAGTTCAATTCCCAGCAACCACATGGTGGCTCACAACCATCTGTAATGAGATCTGGTGCCCTCTTCTGGCCTGCAGGGGTATGTGCAGATAGAACACTGTATACATAATAAATAAATAAACCTTAAAAAAAAAAAATTAGTAATAATTTCTAAAAAAAATGGCCTATTTCTTCTAAAAAAAAAATTCCAAAAAATTACCCTTAGGATAGAGAATTAAAATAAATCAGTACCAAATAAATGGTAAACAGTCTTTATACTAGAAGCCAGATATAATTAACGGCACACCTACAATCCCAGCAATCAAACTAAAACCAGAAGATCAGGCAATTCAAGACTAAGAGGCTACTTGGGACCCCTTCCCCCTGCCACTCAAAAACAAAACATACCAAACAACACCCCTCCCCCAAAAGCCAAGCCACTGGTATTACCTTCAGAAAGTCACCTCCAAGGCCTCTCACTTGATGTGGCCTTTCTACCAGAGAAGCCAGAAGAAGCTCACTCATGGAAATAGAGGCAATAATCAAGAGCAGAAATGAATTCAAGAGACAACTGCAGAACAAGTTCTTTTATTTTTGTGAATAAAAGCAGTTGGAAATTGAAGGAGGCATCTCCAGATACATATGTGACAAAGGCAGCAGCCTTTCCTGCACATGAAGACAAAGGTCTTCCACAAAGAACACGACTGGGTTCCGACTTCACTAGGACAAGAAGCACAAGGGCCCAAGCCTGTCCCAGTACAAGGTTCACAGGGCCGTGGACTCAGCTCTCAGTCCTCAAACATCGCTCCAGAAACTCTCTCCTGAGCGTCATCAGGCTCCGGGGCAGAGGCCGGGCACCACAGGTCCTCCTCTCCGGCCATAAAGTTACCTTCATCATCTCAATCTTCAAGCAAGTAGTTAGGGTTGACTACCAAGTAGGGATCTTCCTCATAGCTCTCGCTTTCCTCGGTGGAGCCTTTCAGTCCAGCCTGGGTAAGCTCAATCAGAACATGATCCTGCGGAACAGTGTGTCTTCAGTCCAGATCCACACTCTTCTAAATGTCTGCTACTTACACATTCTCTTGTCTCCTGTCCCAAAGCCCTTGGACCAGAACCACACCTTAGAATCAGTGTTCTACTTGGTTCCCTTCTTATGAGGATGCTGACCTTTACTTGGAACTGCTTTGAAAAACTAGGAAACTCAGCAGGTGTTGGGATTTAAATAAGGTATCCTACAAATTTATCAAATGCTTGTTAGCATAACTTCAAAAATGGAAACTGTGCTTGAATTAAGATTATACAATTGTGCAAAATCCCCTAACATCTAAATCTGTTTTAGTTTCATTCAATGTCGCCAGTTAATTGTTAATTACTGCCTGTAAGCCCTTCTTTCTCACGCACTCCCCTCCCTCTTTCGGAGACAGTCTATGCAGCCAGGTTGGCCTGACACTTGCAATTTTCCTGCTCTACTCACTTGAGCACTGGGATTTTAAGTGTGTGTCATCATGCTCAGCAAGGTTCTATTTCTTTTTCTTTTTTACAATTTATTTTAAAGAGTCACAGGCAGTTCTTAGGCACCTGATGTGGGTGCTGGGAATCAAACCTGGATGCTCAGGGAGAGCAGTGCATGCTCATGACCACTGACCCATCTCTCCAGCTCTCATCTATTTTTTTTACGAGGTATCATACCCAGGGCCGTGGACATGCTAGGCAGATTCTGTTTCTAACTGGACTAAGAACCGGTCAAAGCTGCCATGGTGGTATACACCTTGTAATACCAGCACTCAGGTGGCTAAGGCACAAAGTCCTTGAACTCTAGGCCAGTGTGGGCTTCACAGTAAGACACAATCTCTAAATAAACAAACAACAAAACATCTCAAAATAATTCATCTGGAAATTTTCTCTCTGAACAAGCAAAAATAAATGTAGAACATGCCATCTGTCCTCTCCTTTCTCAGCTCCTAAGCAATTTCTGACAAACAAGACTGATTATTGGACTGGGGAGGGAGTGGGAGAGGCAGATGAAGCACCAGGTGATGTGAGCGGACTGGCTGAGAACTCACCACAGCCAAGTGTGAATGAAGCAGATGGGGTAAAAACAAAGGGTAAAAAGCACCCAACAGGGGCGTAGACACAGCACAGACCCAAGTGTGACCAGCACACGCAAACCCAGGGTTCAATACCGTACAGCTAAAGACACCACAAAACAAGATTCAAAAGCTACTTGCTCGGCTTTTACCTAAATTCTGCTTATCTTAGGAAAAGAAGTCCCTTCCTGCTGTTAATTCTCCTTAACCACAATTATGACTATACCCCAATGATTCAAAATAAACAAACTCATCAAAAAGCCTACTATGAAACCTGCTGATATAAGAATCCGCCCCCATTGCCCTGGAGCCCAGGCAGTGGATACATACATAGTGCGTCAGACGATGGACCACCTTCTCTATGATCCTCTTTTTATTTATGAGCTCCTCTTCAGAGTCTATTTCTGACTCGATTTCCTTCAGGTACCAATTAACCAGCTCGCTCCTCTTTAATGCTGACTCATCCTCCTCTACAACAAAAACACATTATTTAAAAGGAACGATCTCAAACTACACTGCCAATTAATGGCAAACACACACACACACACACAAAACCAAACAACTTTAGTTTTGATTTTAGAAACTGCAAAATAAGGTGCAAGAGTCAGGATTTGGTTTTAGAATATGTGTTAGGATGTACCAAGAACTGGATTCAATCCTTAGCACCACACACATACAAAAGATACAACATCAGATGTATTTGTAAGCTCCTCTTCAGAGTACTTTATTTTCTTTGTTCTTCTGGAGAAGAGGCCTTCTCACTGTGTAGCCTTGGCTAGCTTGGAGCTCACTATGTAGACCAGGTTTTGAACATGCCTCTGTCTCCTGAGTGCTAGGACTAAAAGTGTAGGCTATCACACCCAGCCAGAATCTACTTCCTATTCAAATTCTTCCAAGTATAGGTGAAACTGGCTGTGAAATTCTCCAGCAGACTGGAATTTTGCATGATGAATGAGGCCTAGGAGCTACCACAGAGTCATCCTTGGAACTTTTCAGTTTCGAGCACACACGCTGGGCAGCTTACAACCTACCATAACTCTAGCTCTGGGAGATCCAAATCCCATTGTGATTTCCATGGGCACCCATACTCAAATGCTTATACACACATACACCCAAAGAATTAACTACAACTCTAACAGATGATGTTTTTTCCTCCTGCCCACAAGGAGATGGTGAAACTGATAACCACAACAAGCATTTAAGGGTAAGAAGTGGGCCAGTGTCCTAATAAGCAGGTACTGATGGGCAGAGGAGTGCTGTGGGATGTTCTGTATGGCAAATGTGTTGCTGATTGGTCAATAAATAAATCACTGATTGGCCAGTGGCCAGGCAGGAAGTATAGGTGGGACAAGGAGGAGAATAAAGCTGGGAAGTGAAAGGCTGAGTCAGAGACACTGCCAGCTGCCACGATGACAAACAGCATGTGAAGATGCCGGTAAGCCACGAGCCACGTGGCAAGGTATAGATTAATGGAAATGGATTAATTTAAGCTGTAAGAACAGTTAGCAAGAAGCCTGCCACGGCCATACAGTTTGTAACCAATATAAGTCTCTGTGTTTACCTGGTCAGGTCTGAGCGGCTGTGGGACTGGCAGGTGAGAGAGATTTGTCCTGACTGTGGGCCAGGCAGGAAAACTCTAGCTACAGAGGAAGATTTTACTAAGTTAGTAATAGTTAAGTAGATTTATTGGGTTTATAAATACCTTGGGAGACCATTTGTTGGGAAGAAAGCAACTATTGTAATTTCACCTGCAAAAATGTTATGTTCTTCATATGATCAGATCTAAAGATTCTGCTTCAACATCATAAACTAAGTACACAAACAAGACCGATCTGTAAGTCCACATAAATGACCATCTCTCCTGAGAGAACACATGCTTAACCTCACAAGCGGCAGAAAGAGCCTGCCTGAGTGACAGCAAGGAAGCAGTGTGGGGCACACACTCACTCACTCACCTTCCTCCATTTTCCTGAGGTGGAGCACAATGAGGTTAGAGATTCGGCAGTACTCAGCAAAGCCCAGCCTCAGGGAGGGCTTGGAAACGGGGGGTTCCTGACTGGCATCTTCACTGGGGCCATTGACCCCATTTACAGGGGCAGGGCTGTCAGCATGACCTACGGAAAGAACAACCACTAAGTCTTGTCCTTGTACCCTCAACGCGCCCTCATCTAGCATCCATGCACACACTGCTTCAGCTTACTATGAGCTTCAGAAAACAATCACTTTATAAGTAAATCTGGAACAAATTAAAATCCTACTTGTAAAGATAACTGACTGGAGAGGAATATAAGGGACAGGGCATGGCAGCACACACCTTTAATCTGTGCACTTAAATGACTGAACCAGAAGGCTATACATTTAGTATAGCTTAGGCTACCTACATAATAACATCTCTCCCCTACACCAACCATCAATCTGTAGTGTTATGAACAAAAACAATCTGTTATTCACCTGTTTCAATGTGACTGAGAGGTTTAATCATCTTTAATTATCATTATGTATATGGACACTTGTGAGCATGCCATAGTATGTATGTGGAAATCAGAAGATAACTGTGGATTCAATCCTCTCATCTTTACATGGGTGCAGGGTAATGAACTATGTTTTCATGCAAGGGTATTTACCCACTGAATCAAGTACTCACCCAAGAAAATTTAAATCCAAGAGCAAAATAGAATACTGTAAAGAGTAGAGGTCAAAGGACTCATCTACCACCCCATTCTGATGTTTTCTTCCACTCTTTCAAGCACACATACTTTGTATAACTACTTAATCAATGTAAAATCCATCTGCCTTCCCCTTTTGAATACATCTACTTCATAGCCACCAACAGGTACATTGGTACTATAGCAGTTTGAAAGAAAATGCCCCCCAAAGGGAGTGGCACTATTAGGAGGTGTGGTCTTGTTGGAGAAGTGTGTCACTGTGGGGGCGGGCTTTGAGGTCTCTTTTGCTCAACCTTCCCTCAGTGTGACAGTCAGTCAACTTGCTGTTGCCTGCAAGATGCAGGGCACTCAGCTGCCAACACCATGTCTGCCTGCATGCTGCCATGCTCCCCATCATGATAATGGGCTAAACCTCTGAAACTGTAGTGAGTCACCCAATTAAATGTTTTCTTTATAAGAGTTACCATGGTTATGATGTCTCTTTACAGCAATGAAATCCCAAACTAAGACAGGTATCATGACACCCTGCAAGATCAGTTTCTATCTATAGACCAGTGATGAGCAGGCTCCTCACCATTGATGCCATCTGGTCCCTCATCCGTCTCCATCTGGATCTCTTCCTCTTGATCTAGATTGACATCAGGCGTTTCTACACGGATGATTGATTTATTCAGTAGCCGAAAAGCTTCCTTCACATGTTTAGGCTGGACCTAACCCAGTAATGAGATAACTTAGCTATGTAAGATGATATTTTATAGCAAACAGCTAAGAAGACTGAGCTCTTCCCCATGTACACTATTAACTCACTAAAATGGCTGAACGGACTGACAATATCATGCATTGGCAGGAACAAAGAATAACTCTCACCCACTGGAGTCATACAAATTGATACAACCATTTAGTAGATTCTTTCTTTCAATAAAGGTACTTGACTTTTATTTACAAAAGCAGTATGCACTTTCTTCCCCTTATTTTATGTGCATACTCCTTTTTTTGGGGGGGAATGGATTCTGCATTTATATCTGCAGAGGCCAGAAGAAGAAAGTATTGGGAATAGTGGAGTCACGACAACTGTAAGCCATCATATGGGTGCTGGGAATATAAAGGGGCGTATGACCCTCCTCCTCCGATTCTTAAAGGATCGTGTATCTTTAGAGAAGACCATGCCCATTGGGCCAACCCACTCCATTCCATTGGTCATTAGACTGAATGGCAGAATTCCAACAACACCTGGGTTCTCTGGAAAGCATCCAGTTCTCTTTACTGAGCCATCTCTCTCTCTACAGCTCAGCAGTATGCACTTCATGTGTTCTTAACCACTAAGCCATCTACTCCCCAGCGACACTGTCTTTCCTTGACACAGAATTCTCTCTCATGTAGCCCTGGATGTCCTTGAACTCGGAGATCCACCTTCCTCTGCCTCATAAATGCTGGCACTTGCCACTACCACCTGTCCGTGTCCGCCGTCCCCCTCACAGTATTGAGAACTGAATCCAGAGACCACCTCCTAAGTGCTGGGATTACAGGCACATGATACAATTCCAAGTTCAAGGGCAGCTTGGGCCATAAACACCATCTCAAAAACAAAGTGCACTCACTTATGATCCATCCACGGGAGTCTGTGGCACAGGGCTGGGAGTTTAATCCAGGTTACCAAGTGAGATCCAATCAGCCCTTTCACAGACAAAATCTGAATTCTAACTGAACTTTGTATATAAAGTATACAAAAGCCTCTTTGAAGCAGAGATGTGTGGCTTCCAATATCCCCCCCTCCATACTCTGACGCTTGCCACGAATCCAGGGCTCAAAGAGCAATTTAAAACCCATGGAGCTAAGGGTATAGATTAGTGTCAAATGTGTGCTTAGCATGTACAAGGCTCTGAATTTAATCCCAAGCACACACACAAAAATAGCCAAATCCACCACACACTGATTATACAAACCTCAAGGAGGAAGGCTCCTTCTGAGAAAGGAGTCACAGTCCCATCTGTAATTCCTAGCCAGAGGCCGAGGACACTGTAGAGATGAAATATGCTTCTCCTGGATAAATGATTACTCACCTCTATCTGCACTCCACAACTATTGATTACAATAAACATGATTATCTGTTACTATCAGTCTAACTATCATACTTCATAACTGCAAGACAGCAACTTTTCCACTGGGAGACTAGTACCAACTGGTTCTGGAAAGTTCCATAACAAAGATAAAAACATGCCCACAAGCCAATTCATGCATTCCTGTGTTATCAGAGGGACCATGGTACCTCGTCACAGCAGTGCATCCGGGCCATTGATTCTGAGAGGCGGATCATGCTCTCGAGTTGTCGCACAGTGATTCTCCATGAGGACTTAGTGACCCCAGAGCCATCCCTCTGGCGCAGGCGTTTGTACTGCTCCACAATGAAGTCCTCCGACTCCTTGGAAATCTGTTTGAAAACCAGTCAAGTCAGGGAGACATCTATACTCATTTCCCTTGATGGCTACATTAACCTGCAGTTAGAGAGGACCCCAGGTGGAACATTCTGGGAACGCAGAGACTAAAACTTTAAGCTATCACAAAGACAATGAATTACTTCAGAAATGGGCACTAAGACACTTGTAAATTCCATGTACTAAATTTATGAACAGGAAGACAATAGACTAGTTTAAGCAAATGACCATTTCTAAATGATGTTTAACAAATGAAGAGTGGAATAAAATGAAATGCCTTTTGTACCTCAAGTGTCAAAGCTCATTAACTGAATTAACACTCAGACTATACTTAAGGCTCAGCTAATGAACTCAAGCTGGCTTTGGGGGAAAAGATAGCATATACTGAATAAAAGGCCCTCAGTTTTTCCGAACAAGAAACTTGGTACACAGAGGGGACCAATATGTAGTCCTGGTGAACATGCACTCTTCATACAAAAGCCACTCAAAATCCTATTTATTTAATTTCATTATTAGACAGGGTTTAAGTAGACTATTAATTAGACTATTATGCCTGCCAATTTTTTTTACTAGTATCTAACAAGTCAAATATGAAATTATTCAGATTAAAAAATAAGCTCCTCTCAACCATTTCTGAAGAAACAAACTAGTATTCAAAACAAACAACACAAAACTTAAAATCCAAGGAGATTATAATGCACTTAGGTTGTAAGAGGAGTATACAGAGTTGGAAAGAAAAGTGGTGGGGTATGGGAGGAGTGAGGTCTGGAAGTGGGAGGTGGATTTATCAAAGCACATTAAAGTATGAAATTTTCAAGCAATAAGTTAAAAAGGATTTAAGGACATTAAGAAGATAAATACAGCTAGGTACATCGGCACATTCCTACAAACCAAGCAATAGGACTCTAAAGCAGGATTATGAACTTGAAGCCATCCTGGTCTACACAGTGGAGACCCGGCCTCAAAAGATCAAAATCAAAACTAAAGCTAAAACAAAATCAAACCAAAGCCAAGTATAGGCTCAGTTAATTTCCACACAACCCATTTATTTAAATCCAATTTTAATGCACACAGGACTTATCCAGGTATAGCAGGGCAGATTACCTTGGGCTTAAACTGCCGGGCAAAGAGAAGATACCTTCTGATATCATCAAGGGAATAAACTCGGTCAATCGATTCTTCAATCCTTGAATGCAAGTCTACTATACGCCTGGCGATAGCATAATCTGTCACCTAATTCAAGACAAGAAGATAGCTTCTGTCAATCCTAGTAGTATCGACTCCAAAGTACCCCAGGTAATTTACAGCTAACAAATGATCTCTCATCTAGGCATGTAGTCAACGCCTGTAATCCCAGTACTTGGGACGTAGAGGCAGGAACAGCAGTTCAATGAAGTCAGCCTCGACTGCAAAAGATGTTCAAGGCCAGTAGAAGCTACAGGAGACCCTATCTTGAAACAAAGACAAAATTAACCTCTATGCTCCCTGAAAGAAGTTATTAATAGGTACCAACCTTCTGAGCAGAGTTTTTATTATTTTAGATTTATTTATTCTATATTTTGCTTGCATGTATCTGTGTACCATGTACATGTCTGATGTGCACTGGGGTGAGAAGAAGGCACTGGATCTCCTGGAACTGGAGTTATAGATGTCTGTGAGCCATCATGTGGGTGCTAAGAGTTGAACCTGGGTTCTCTGAAATAGCAGAGTGTTCTTAACTGCTGAGCCATCTCTCCAGCCTCACAAAGTCCTTACAACAGATTTTTAAATTAAAAAATAAACACATTTTATGCTGGGTATGGTGGCATATGTCTTTAATCCCAGCACCAAGGAGGCAGAATCTCTGATTTTGAGGCAGCCTGGCCTACATAGCAAGTTCCAGACCAGCCAGAATTATGGGTGAGACTGTCTCAAAACAAAAAACAATGATAAAATTTATTTTCTGTGTAAAGTGTTTTGCCTCTGTGTATATCTTTGCATCATGTACATGCTTGGTGCCCAGAGAGGCCAAAAGAAGGCTTCAGATCCCCTGGAACTGGAGTTATGGATGGTTGTGAGCCACCACGTGAGTGCTGGGAATTGAACATGGTCCTCTGCAAAAGCAGCAAGTGCTCTTAACCACTAAACCATCTTTCCAGCACGTGGTACCCATCTTTGTGCCACTCTAAAAATATATCTGGAAGGAGTGGACTACCTTTAATAAGCGTATTTGCTGTGGACACAGAAGGAAGAAAGAACTAATGGGGAGGAAGGGAACCAGCCAAAACAAACACACAAATAAAATGGTGGTGGTGAGCAACCAATTAGAGCAAAGCTACTGACATGGGAATGGAAATGACACAGGGCCTGGTGTGCACATGGTAGTGCACGCCTTTAATCATAGATTTTTGGAGGCAGAGGCAGGCGGATCTCAGAGTTCAAGCCCAGCCTGGTCTACAGAGAGAGAGTTCCAGGATAGCTGAGGCTACACAGAGACCCTGTCTAAAAAAAAAAAAAAAAAGAAAAAAAGAAAAAAAGAAAAAGAAAAAGCTATAATGAAATCTAGTAGCATATGCTAACTTAAAAATTAGTTTTAAGGCTGGGCGTGGTGGCGCACGCCTTTAATCCCAGCACTGGGAGGCAGAGGCCAGCCTGGTCTACAGAGTGAGTTCCAGGAAAGGAGCAAAGCTACACAGAGAAACCCTGTCTCGAAAAACCAAAAAAAAAAAAAAAAAATTAGTTTTAAGGGGCTGGAGAGATGGCTCAGCAGTTCAGAGCACTGGCTGTTCTTCCAGAAGACCAAGGTTCAACTCCCAGCACCCACAGGGCAGTCATACCTGTCTGTAACTCCAGTACAGGACTTCTGACACCTTCACACAGACACCCATGCATATAACAGATTATAAAGAGCCACGGCAGAGCATTTACAAGGCACTCATTACATGATGCTGTCTCCTCAGGTATGTCTAGAAGCGAGCCTCATAAAAACCCCATAAAGGAGATATTAACTTTATTTTATACAGAAGCAAACTGAGTTAAATAATTTGTCCAAGGTCTTAGTAAGTAGTGGAGACAGGATTCAACAATCTAGCTCTAGTGTGTCCTCTCACCCACTGTATTATTATCTGGGAGTTAACTGTGTTCATGAACTTGTGAAGGGAAGAAGAGAAATCCAGGCCCAAGTCTCCACACTTTCACAACAGCAAGGCAGTTTAATCTAGATAATGTTTCAAGTCAGGTGGGAAGCAGGGTTTTGCACTGTAACTACTGAATAGAGGACCTCCCTGCTCAGCGAATGTGAGTACAGTCCAAAGATGACCATAGTGGTTACACAGAGTTCAGGGCCAGTTAAGATACACAAAACTTTGTGGGGTGGTGGGGATGGTGGGCTGTGTGTGTGTTATCACACACGTCTGGTATTTCAAGCTGAGAACAATGAACTCTGACCAGGAGCAGTACACCCGAGGAGCACAAGAGGCCACACAACAGACACCAATGGAAATGACGAACAGGAGCCTGAGTGGCTGGTTACCTCATTGCACTCATCCACCAGGATAAAGAAGAGATCAAAGCGGGACATGATGGGCGCCGACAGACTGATGTTCTGTTTCAGTGATTTCGATCTGTCGTAGTGTCCGCTGACAGGGTTTGCTGCAGCTAAAATGGATGTCCTGGCATTCAGAGTCGCCTGACCGTGAGAGAAAACCATGAGACTAAAGAACGAACCCAAACTGGTCAATACAGATACAAGGAAAGGTTCTGTCTCATGCAATTAACTATAAGGAAGCAAACGGTGTAGCAGGCTTTCTCGGACTTCCAGCCCCCAAATCACGACACTGAGACTTATTATTAGTTATCAACGCTTGGCCTTAGTTTAGGCTTGTCCCACTAGCTCTCACAGCTTGTTTTTAACCTGTTTCTCTTCATCTACATTTTGTCTTGGGGCTTTTTACCTTTCTTTCATTCTTTATGTCCTACTTTCCTACTTCCTCTGTGTCTGTCTGTCTGTCTGTCGGTTGCCTGGCTGGCCCCTGGAGTCTTCCTCAAGCCTATATTTCTTCTCCTACTTATTTTCTTTGCCTGCCAGCCCCGTCTACCCCTCTACTGCCTAGCTATTGACCATTGAGCTTTTTATTAAACAAAACAGGTACCTTATGCAGGCAAGGTAAAACAAATGCAACACATCTTTACATAGTTAAACAAATGCAGCATAAACAATTGTAATATATCTTTATATAATTAAACAAATACTCTATTCCACAACAAAAAGGAGGAAGCTTTTTTTACCAATTGAATCATCAAAACTCAAGTATGATAACACAGTACACTAGGCTCTTCTACATTGGTGATGTAATCTCTTATGAGTCCCTTAGCCAGCATTCTGCTAGGAATTTACCTTGTTAACTAGATACTGGTGGTAACTCACTTGACTACAATAACTATATCTTGTGACACACAAAACTAAAAAACGACCCACTCAATGTATGGTTCATGCAGTTAAATGCCATGGGCTAGTAAGTGACAACTGACCTAGTAGGTGCTATATAGAAGACTGATAACAAAACTATGAAGTTAAAGGAGGAAAGAACTGTATGTACATGCTTATCTATGTTTAAAGTATTCCCAGATATCCACTGTGCTAGGAGTTGTAGGCGAAGATCTCGCTTAAATTTATACAGTAGTGGATTACTTTAAAAATTTAACTAACCAAATTTTTAAATTTAACTTACTTTCTTTCAGATTTTTAAAAGATTTTATTTTAAAATTATGTGTATGCATTTCTGTCTCTGTGTGTAAGTGCATGTGCATGCAGACCCTGTAGGAGCCAGAAGAGGATGCTGGAATCCCTGTCACTACAAACTGTCCACTGTGAGTTCTGGGAACTGAACTGGGGTCCTCTGCAAGAACAGTACATGCTCTTAACTGGTGAGCCATCCATCTGTCCACCAAACCTACCATTTTTAATAAGTTAAGAGTCTCTCTAATGTTGGTCATAATATATAGTAATCAGTTATTTTCATTAAGTTATCTGTTGATCTTTGAGTATTTTGTGGTACTGGAACCAATCACTATTTGTTATAATAACCATGTTTATCAAAGAATTTAAGTTTTGTTTATGAAAATTTTGCTAAACACAGTGGGCAAGAAAGCCCAGCAGGTAAAAGCCCCTTCTATGAAAGCTTGGTGACCTGAGTGTGACCCCGGAAACCCATGTAAAGATGGAAGAACCAAAGCCACAAAGCTGTCTTTTGTCACATGCATGCCATGGCACCCCTCCCCCAATAAACATTTCTAAAGCTTTAAATTTTTGAGAAACTAAGAAATGATAAAAAATTACACCAGTACAATTACTTTCTATCACAGCAATATATGTGCACTGGACCCTCTATAACATCTGTATTTTACATTTTAGATCAGCATTACACATTGAAACAATCTATTGGTGGACATCTCTAACATACCAATCTGCATGGCTAAGGGATACACACCTTCACTCCTGCTTTAGTGATCGATATGGTCTGCTGCTCCATAGCTTCATGGATAGCGACTTGGTCCCGCATGTCCATCTTATCAAATTCATCAATACAACAGACACCCTGTAACCAAACAGATCTAACATTAAGGGCTAGAGATACAGCTTGGTGGTTGAGTAGTTACTTGCCTAGCTTGTGTGAGGAAAGCAGACAAACTGCCTTGTAAAAACAGATGTAAAATGATAAACTCAGTTTCCTACCAGAGACCTTTCCATTCCCTAGGCAAATGGAAGATAGGATGTAAACATTCTTAATTCCTGTTTAGGCAAGGCTGTCCAACAGAACAAAGAGCTGGAAGGGAATCTCATGTGACTCACTTAAACTAAGAGTAAAACTATTTATTAATATGCAGACAATGTACTCTTCTCAACAATTAAACCTTAGCATCAAGACACTTGGGCTGGGTATAACGGTGCACACCTCTGTGGAAGGCAGAGGCAGAGGCAGTAGATCTCTGGGAGCTCCAGGCCAGCGACAAACACAGCCTGACTCTGGTTCAGCTGCTCATTTTAGTCTGGGAAAGTACAGAGTGAAGGAGTACTACAATGAATGTAAGCTTCCATACTCACAAAGAACTGATCTTTGCCAAATACTTATGTAATATACTATGTATCCGTGGATGGATCTATTAAGAGATGTTAAGAGTCTGCAAAGTAACAAATTGGGATGTCTAGTCAAAGCAACCAACACATTCTAGGGATGCTCAGAAAGTGTGTCAACTAACAACAGTCTCAGCCGTGTGTAGTGGCGCACACCTTTAATCCCAGCACTAGGGAGGCAGAGGCAGGTGAGATCTGTGAGTTCAAGGCCAGCCTGGTCTGAGTTCCAGAACAGCCAGAGTTACACAGTGAGACCCTGTCTGGAAAAACAAACAAACAAACAAACAAACAAACAAACCCCAAACCAACAAAACTTAATGATGACAGTTTCAATTCAAAGTAGATTAATAAAACTGAGTAACATACTAATGAATTCAATAAAAACTATAGGTCAAAGGGTATTCTGACTGTCCGACAGTGCACAGCGTCCTTACATTATCAGCCAGCATCAACGCTCCAGCCTCAATGACAAATTCATGAGATTCTTCATCCCGCACCACAGCTGCTGTTAAGCCAGCGGCGCTGGAGGCTTTGCCACTGGTATAGACAGCTCTGGGGCTGAACTCATCCACATGCCTGTTCAAGAACAGCACACAAAGATTCGTGAACACATCAACACACTACATTTTCCAGAAAGATCAGCTGACAGGAGGAGTTCTATCTCCTTTGGCTTCTTAAACTGAGTATGAGGCCATCCCGGGCTGTATAGCAAGACCCTGCCTCAAAACAAAGCAGAGAAGTAGAGTTTTTGACACTCAGTATAACAATTTTCATAGAAGTATTTCCATTACAACAGGGGAGAATGTAAACAACCGAAAGGTCCACCAATGCATTATGTATAAAACAAACACCACCACCACCTGCTCCTGCAAACAAAAAGGGATAGAAAAACAAAACAAAAAAACAAAACCCTCCTATAAGCCACTATTCAAGCAAGCACTAAGCATAAAAGCGAAGGCAGAAATAACTCAAATGTTGATTAATAAATGGACAGTGACCCCTAGAATGTAGCTGGTGGCTCCCAGTGATTTGATTATGAGGATCTGATCTGATCAACACATGAATCCCTTAAGGTACTCATAATAGACCAGCACTATTGGGAAGTGTGGAAGACAGATGGGGGAGGGGTGCATTTGTGCATTTAGGAGAAATCGGCCACTGCTGGAGTACCTGGAGAGGCTCCTGTTTTCCTGTCTCCCCTACTTCCTAGTCCCACGAGGTGAGCTCTGCTCCCTCACTCTCCATCATGACTTTGTCTCCTTATCACCCCAGGAACAATGGAACCAAGTGATTGCGGATGGAAACTGAGTCAAAAGTAAATCCTTCCCCCTTTAAGTTGCTTACCTTACTATGTATAAAACGAACTCCACCACCTTAGGTATTAGCTATCTTACTGCTTAGGTATCAGTCACAGTGATGGAGGCTGGCTAACACATGTGGTGGTCGTGCATTACTTAGCCAGGGAAGCAAACAAAATACTGCTGCAAGTTCCAACATGGCTTCATGCCAAGTGCGAGTTTATTTCTAAAGACCACATATCAGCCGATTTAAAAAAATGCACATTGGGACAATGCAGTACACTGTTCCTTTCTATAGGGGAAGGAGTGACCACTAAGACATAGAGTTTCCCTCCACATAACAGTAACATTCTAAACTTAGTTCAACTTATAATCCTACTGATGTATTACAAGCACCAAGCTGCAAAACGCAAAGGAGTGAATGTCATGATGCATAAATTGCATTTCAATAAAGATGCTAGAAAACACTATACAGAAGATCGAAGAAGGGCCAGCAAAATGACTAATAGGTAAAGGTGCTTGCTGACAAGCCTAATGACCTGAGTTCAATCCCCTGGAAGGATTGAACTTCTACCACATGTTGTCTTCTGAGCTCTGTGTGCACCTGCACATGGTAATAAAAGATCTAAGAAAACCATACATGTAAAACACAATGCTGTCCTAACCGACAACACTGTGGTTGAGAGCACAGCAAATAGAAAAATAGAATGCTTTAAACATAACTATTACTTTCAATCTAAAATTCAGCTTAGGGATGAGGACCTTGCTCAAGAGGTAGCATATACAAGGCCCTGGACTCAATCTCCAGCATATCAAAGATGAAACAAAATTCAACCTGTGATACACTTGAAATAATCATAAAACTTAAAACAACTAGGCTGGGCTCAGTGACATGTGTTATACAGACCTTGTCTCAAAAGCAGCAACCGCCAGACTGGGAGCATGGCTGTAGACCACGGCTGGTCTACAAGCACACACACACACTGCTTTTCCCACGGTACTACTGCAGGCACTTACTTGAGAAACTGGCTCTTAGCTGTACTTGGGTCACCAACAATGCAAACGTTTATGTCCCCACGAAGAGAGGTCCCTTCCCCTGTTGTCTTAGGAACACCACCAAACAGCATCAGTAAGACACCACGTTTTACTTCATCATTGCCTGAAATGAAAAGCTCCAGATAAAAATTCATCTTTCAGGGGAATGGTGAGATGGCCCAGCAGGTAAAGGTTCCGGCTTCATAAGCCAGAAGACCAGAGTTTGATACTGGGAACCCATGTGAAGGAAGAAGGAAACAATCAACTCTACAGAGTTGTCCTCTGACTTTCAAATGTGCCTCTTACATACACACAGTAACTTAATTAAAAAAAAAAAAAAAAAAAAAAAGCTGGGCGTTAGTGGTACACGCCTTTAATCCCAGCACTTGAAGAGGCAGGCTGTGAGTTCAAGGCTAGCCTGGTCGACATAGTTCCAAAACAGCCAAGACTACATAGTGAGAACTTGTTTCAAATAAAGGAGATGGAACTTAATTTTCCTCTTTCAAAGTAGGCATGAATTTAGTGACTCTTAAGACAGTCTACAGAGAGAGCTCACAAGCATCCTCCTGGGTCAGGCTCCTCCTTGAAGGCAGGGAATACAGGTACCTAGTATGACTTGAATTTCAACAAATAACTATGAGGAATTAAAGGCCTGTAGCTCCAAGATTAGGTAGTACACAAGAGCACTATGTCTCCTCCCTGATCTTGTGTTCTGAACTAAGTGAGCTGCTTTGTGAAGGCCTGCCCACTGGGTATCTCACATGGTAAGGAATCCAAGCTCCCAGCTATCCACTAGCACTGAGGTAAGTCATCTGAGCCCCTGCATGAGCTGTTGCTCAAACCCCAGTCTACCTTTTGGGCACCCAAAGCCTGTTGACAACTTGAAGTGTATTGGTGTTTTGTCTGCATGTATGTGTTATGTGCCACATGCAGACTTGGTACCCTCAGAAGGCACTGGATCCCCTAGACCTGGAGTTACAGACAGTTGAGAGTCACTATGTGGGTATTGTGAATCAAACTCAGGTTCTCTGGAAGCAGTCAGTGATCTTCAGTCCCAACATGAAGATGCCTGAACCAGTCCCACCCATGAAACCTTTACTACTGATTGTAAGTCTGTATCACAAATGGAGCTCTCACCGTGTATAGTAGGGAAGAGGCTGGTGCAGAGATTGTGGTACAGGTTTTTGTCCTGACTCATTTCAAACACCTTTTCCCATTCCTTCACTGTCATTTGGTTCTTAATGCTCTCAGCTGTCTGTTCTTCATCTCTGAGTTCTTTCCCACCAAACTGAGAGGTGGCAGAAAAACAAAACGAAAAAACATTAGAGCCAAGACAATGTAAAGGAAAAGAAATTTCACTATAATGAAAGTGCTCGAGAGGTCAAAGTTGTGATTCGACTACAGTCCCTCAACTAGCAAGACTTCAGTTAATAGAGGTATGTAAGAGCTTGTCATTTGTCCAGTGAGGAAAACAAAAGCTACTATTGCTTTATGTTACTCTGAGCTATAACAGAAGTCATCACTGACATGAAAATAAGCTCAAGCAAAGGGCTTTACCCAGCTCTGCCATCTCAGTAAATCTCACCACTAGGGTTAGGGACATAGTCCAATTCGTTTCTAGCATGCACAAGACCCCGTGCTTAATCCCTAGCGCGATAAACAAAGAAATAAATAGGTTAAAATAAGACTTACCCTGGGGTTGGTTGGTGCAACATAACAGGCAAGGAAGACGAGCCTGTATGACAGGTCTCTGACACCAAGGGCCCGCAGCCCTCGAACGCCTTCTGTCTCATACCCATCAACTCCACTGACTCGGGAGTTAGTCTCTGCACGTGCTCCTAAGAGTAAGAGAGAAGGTATTTCACAGCTCAAATACTAAAGGTGCTAATAAGAACTAATATATTCAATAAGCCAAAGTTGAAACAGCACCTTTCATAGAAAAATCAATTTTTTAATCTCTTCATACTTCTACATTCACCCTAATTGGTAGAAGCCAGATATTTGGAGGAGTAGGTGACCAGGACTGGTTAAAGCTGAGCAACAAATCACTGACCTGGTACACTAAGCTTGGAGACATCAGGCACAACTATCAGTGTCCCCGTGAAGTCACACTTGTCACCAGCTTGGGCTGACTCTACAGCTTCAGCTCTCAGGATGACCTCTAAACTTCGGGGGATACTTCCTCGGGGAAGTTCCGCTTGAGTCTCTTGAATACGAACCTACACCAACAGCAAAAGAAAGAGACAGATGCCTTTATACACTATACAACTAAAATCAACAGCTACAAATACCCATATCCCAGCCTGTGTGTATACTTTTCTGTAGTAGAATATTATTTGAAGGGGTGTTACTTTTGTTTATGTTGCATTTGTTTAACTCTGTGAAGCTGTGTTACTGTGCCTGTCTAAAATACCTGATGGTGTAACAAAGAACTGAACGGCCGATGGCAAGGCACGAGAAAGGATAGGCGGGGCTGGCAGGCAGAGAGAATATACAGAAGGAGAATTCTAGGAAGAGAAATCTAGCAGCCAGAGAAGGAGGAGGACTCCAGGAGCCAGCCACCCAACTACACAGCAAGCCACGGAATAAGAGTAAGACTTACAAAAGTAAGAGAATGGGAAAAGCCCAGTGGCAAAAGATAGTCAGGAAAATTTAAGCTAAGAAAAGCTGGCACTGGGCGGTGGTTGTGCACGCCTTTAATCCCAGCACTCGGGAGGCAGAGCCAGGCGGATCTCTGTGAGTTGGAGGCCAGCCTGGGGTACAGAGTGAGATCCAGGACAGGTATCAAAACTACACGGAGAAACCCTGTCTCAAAAGACAAAAAAAAAAAAAAAAAAAAAAAAAAAAGAAAGAAAGAAAAAAAGAGGAAAGCTGGCTAGAAACTAAGCCAAGCTAAGGCCGGGCATTCATAATTAAGAATAAGCCAGCCGGGCGGTGGTGGCGCACGCCTTTAATCCCAGCACTCGGGAGGCAGAGCCAGGCGGATCTCTGTGAGTTCGAGGCCAGCCTGGGCTACCAAGTGGGTCCCAGGAAAGGCGCAAAGCTACACAGAGAAACCCTGTCTCGAAAAACCAAAAAAAAAAAAAGAATAAGCCTTCATGTAGGATTTATTTGGGGGAGAGCACCCCCCCCAATAGAGTAAAAAACAACTGACAACACTTTTCTCTTTGGTGTGCAGAGGGAGGCCAGGGGCCTAGCTCAGGTGTCAATCCTCGGCACCATCCACCTCTTTAAAGACAGGGTCTCACTGGCCTGGAACTCACCAATCTGGCTAGGCTGGTTGACCATTTAGCTTTAGGGATCTGGCTGTCTCTGCCTCCCCACCCCACCCCCAGTTCCAATTCCAAGTACATGCCACCACATTTGGCCTTTTATGGGGATGCCAGGGATCAAATACAGTTCTCTTCAAGTTTGTGTGACAAACATGTTACAACTAAATTATCTCCACAGGCCCTGCCCTGGAGACGTTTGACATATATCAATATTCACTTAACAAGTTGTACCAGGAGCTGGAGATGTCTCAGCAGTTAGGATCACTGGCTGCTCTTCCAGAGGACTTGGATTTAATTCCTACCACCCATATGAAGGGTCACAACCATCAATAACTCTAATCCCAGAGACTCCAATGCCCTCTTCTGGCCTCTATAGGCACTGCAATACATATGGTACATAGACATACATGCAAGGAAAACACCCATATGCATAAAAATAAATAAATAAAAATTGTGTCCTAAAACTACTTTTAGTCAAATAGTTCAACTGGCTAAGCAATTATATCTAACGCCGGGCAGTGGTGATGCACACCTTTAATCCCAGCACTTGGGAGGCAGAGACAGGGAGATCTCAGTTGAGTTGGAGGCCAGTCTGGTCTCCAAAGTGAGTTCCAGGACAGCCAGGACTGTTACACAGGGAAACCCTGACATGGGGTGGGGGGTGGGTGGGTGGGAAGCAACTACATCTACTGGTGCTGAAGAGATGGTTCAGTAGTTAAAAGAACACTGTCTGCTTTGCACACATACATGTAGGCAAAGCACATAAAATTTTTTACCCTAAAATACTCCTTTTAGTCAAATAGCTCAATTTGTTAAGAGATTAATCTATTGGGGCTGGAGAGGTGGTTCAATAGTTAAGAACACTGTTTTTGCAGAAGACCAGAATTTGATTGCTAGCACCCACATGGAGGCTTACAACCCTCTACATCCTGGTTATTTTTGTCATTTTAACACAAGCAAGAGCTATTTGGGAAGAGGGTTCCTCAATTAGAAAAATGCCTGTATCATTCTAGCTTGCAGGGGCATTTCCTGGATTAATGATTGACGTGGGAATGCCCAGATCACAGTGGTTTCGGCCACCCCTGGGCAGGTGGTCTTGGGTTATAGAGGGAGGATGACCAAGCCTTGAAAAACAGTAAACAACATTCCTCTATGGCAGTGGTTCTTAATCTTTCTAATGCTTCGACCCTTTAATACAGTTCCTCATGTTGTGGTGACCCCCAACCATAAAATTATTTTTGTTGCTACTTTATAACTGTATTTCTGCTGTTATGAATTGTAAGAAAATAGCTGTTTTCTGATGGTCTTAAGCAATCCCTATGAAAGGGTCATTTGACCCTTCCCAAGGAGGTCATGACCCACAGGTTGAGAACCACTATTCTACACCCTCTGCTTCATTACCTGCCTCCAGGTTCCTGTCTCGACTTCCTTCTATGATGGACTACAACTATAAGCTGAAATAAACCCTTTCCTCCCCAAGTTGCTTTTGGTCATGATGTTTATCACAGCAACAGAACCTAAGACTATGTATCACTTCTACCTCACAGAACACTCTCCTTTATTCTTGCTAATCTGCTAACACTGTAGAGACAATTGTTACAGGATGACCTGCAATGGACAAGAAGTCATTTTTTTCTTTCTCTATTTATGGAGCTCTGGCTATCCTGAAGCTGCTATGTAGACCAGGCTGGCCTCAAAGATCTACCTACCACTGCCCCCAAGTGCTGGGTCTAAAGAAGTGCACAACCAAGCCTGGCTCTTGTAACTTTGAATCTCGCTCTGAAAGGTCCTCGAGAGGGACACTTATGGTACATTCAAGTTGAGATGAAAATTTATAGAAGAACACACTGTTGTACTTTCCTAGAATCCCTTTGCGAATACCCCACGGGTATGTGAATATTCAGATTTTGGTTACTTCTCCATCTCCAGTTCTTCTGAAACAGTCGTAGTCCCTCCTCACAGAAATTAGAGCATCTTCAGGAATAAAACTTGCTGATAATGCAGCAATAAACTTTATGGAAAGGGAGAAAAACTCTAATACTTACACAAATTCCTTAAAAACTGACATCTAAATTGAGTTACCACAAAGAACAAAAAAAATTACGAGTGGTGAATCTGATCTACTGTACTATTTGTCTAATACTTATATATATATGAATCTGACCTAAACAGAAGTAAATACCTTTTGGAAATCAACAAATCTTGATTTATTAGTGTCTAGCAGGAACCTCTTCCTGTTGGCACACACTGGATTTCGGCAGATATTCGGCTGTGTGTATTTGAACTGCTGTTCTACGTCCTTGATCACTGTTTGACAGTCCAGGCACAGGAAGGTCCCACTCACGAGCTCAGGGTGAACGGGGTGAGTGCGCACCACCTGCCCACTGATGCGGGTGAGCAGCCCGATCCTGGATGACGTGAGCTCACGAATCCTGTTTGAAGACAAGAGTCACGTTAATAAATATCCATCTTTCTTTTTCTTCAGTTCTGTGGACTGAACTAGGACCTAACACTGAGCTACAACCCTAGTCTGCTTCCACTTGCCATTTTCTTAGTGTAGGAAACCTAAGTTTTTCTTTAAGTTTTTAAAATTATGTATAAGTGTGTCTCTGGTGGGTATGTGCATGTGAGGGCAAGTGCTTTCAAAGGCCAGGGACACTAAATCCTCCTAGAGTTAAAGGCAGTTGTAAGCCTCCTGATACTAGTGTTGGACACCAAATTCAGGTCCTCTGCAAATAGCAGTTCACACTCTTACCTGCTGAGCCATCTCTCCATTCCATAATTTCTGTTTTTATTAGGAGTGATTAATGATAAACATGCTTTAGAAGAATGGAGACAAATTATCCCATAGAATCTCCTAAAAGAACGGTTTGGTCAGTAGGCCCACTGCTAATGTAATTCATAACAAAAATAAAAATGAGCTGGGCAGTGTTGGCAAACACCTTTAGTCCCAGCACTCAGGAGACAGAGGCAGTTGGATATTTGGGTTTGAGGCCAGCCCGATCTACAGAGTGAGTTCCAGGACAGCTAGACATAAACTCTGTCCCAAAAAACCTAAATAAATAAATACAAATACGAAAGATAAAAAGACTGAAGAAATAAAAAAGCTAGGTGCCTTGACATGCATCTAAAACCACAGCATGTCACTAAAGGGGTGAACCAGCAAGGCCATCTCAGGCTCAGTGAAAAATACTGTTTCAGGACTGAAGAACTCAGTGGTTAAGAGTACTTGGTGCTCTTCCAGAAGATCTGAGTTCAGTTCCTAAGCACCCATGTCAGGCAGTTCACAACACGTAACTCACTCGAGGGGAATCTAGCACTCTTTCGGTACTGTACACGCTTGGGATTCATGAACACACACACACACTACACTGGATGCCCTGGAACTAGAGTTACAGACAGCTTTGAGCTGTCATGTGGGTTCTGAGAACTGAACCTGATCCTCTGGAAGAGCAGTCAGTGCTCTTAACCTTTGAATCATCTCTCTGAACCCCACTGGTATATGCCTTTAATTCCAGTACTTAGGGAAACAGAAACAGTCAATTTCTGTAAAAATCAATCACTATAAGTTCAAGGCCAGTGGGTCTACATACTGAGACTCTATATTCATTAAAGCCCTAAAATTTATTAATTTCTTTTACTTTTTCCTTTTCTTTTTTTGAAATAGGCTTTCACTATATATCTCTGGCTGACTTGGAACTCACTATGTAGACCATCTGGTCTTGAACACAAAAGAGATCACATGTCTCTGATTCCTGAGTGCTGGGATTAGGCATGTGCCAATTATTGGCCTTATTCATGAATTTCTGCAAACTATGCTTACTTCTCAAATCCCCCCTCAGCAAATCCTGTTTCCCAGTTTACCTAAAAGGTGCCTTAAAAATGACAATACTGAGTGTCTGCCTCACTTCATACTGCCCGTCCTATCTCCATGGGAAAACAAGTTTCTCCAATCTAAATTTTCTGGGTAATAGGTTTAAACACTTCAAAATGCCGATCTGAACTGGGTGTAGCAGCACATGCAAAGAGACTGGATGATTGGCAGTTTGAAGCCAGCATGAGCTACACAGCTCAAGGCTTGACCTTTATAAAAATATTTACAGCAACAAATCTGTCTTTTGACTTAAGTAGAAAACTCAAAACAAAAGACATGACAGGGGGCTGGAGAGACGGCTCAGTGGTTAAGAGCACTGGCTGCTCTTCTAGAAGACCTGGGTTCAATTCCCAGTACCCACACGGCAGCTTACAACTATCTGTAATTCTAGTCCCAGGGGATCCAACACCCTTACACAGACACACCAATGCAAATAAATAAATCATTTTAAAAAATTTTTAAAAAGGCAACAACAAACCCCAAAAAAAGATTAAAAAAAAAAAAAAAAAAAAGACATGACAGATGAGAACACTGAGACCCAGCAAAGTCAGAGTGGTCTGTATACTACAAAGCCAGCTGTTAGCCATTTCTGAGTGCCCAGTAAGTGGTACTGATATGACAGATCCTTTCACCCCCAAAAGATTCCTTCCTTACTTGTGTCTAGTAGGCAGGTCTTGGAAGGCAACATAAAAATCCTTGGCGAAAGGGATCTCCTTTCGGTCTTTCACAAAGGTCTTCAAGGCTCGACACAGGTAAGGGTAGACTCTGAAAAACAGACAGACCAGTGACAGCCGACTCTTACTACTAAGCCTGCCTTCTTTTCCATGTCTATCAGCTTGGAGACGACAGCATCCCACGTGGTCACAAAGACAGCTGCTTGCTTCTGTAATAAACCCTGCTGCTGTGTATATGGGTATGCGCACCACAAAACATCTGAAGCCAGAGAGCAGCACTAGGTGTCTTCCCGCATCCTGTTTTACACATGGTCTCTCACTGATTAGCTAGACTGGCTAGCCAGCAAGCACCGGGATCGCCTTCTCCGTTCCCCAGCCTTGGGGTCCCAGGTATTTATTAACCACCGCTCTAGTTTATGTGGGCACCAGGGAAAAACTCCGACCCTAATGCTGTACAGCAAGCACTTTCACCCATGGAGCATCTGCCCAGGTCCCCTTCAAGTGTTCTTCAGTCAGCTCTGACTAAAGTACTTCAGACTCCCCCAACTCCCAATCCACCAGGAAAACAGGGCCATGTCTCCTAATCTGTGCCTTCTCTTTTGTAACTATTGACAAAAATCCGTATTTATCCAAGCACTTATTTAGAACAAAGTAGATCATTATTTGTGGACAAAGCTGTTGTTTTGTTTTGTTTTTTGAGACAGGGTTTCTCTATAACAGCTCTGGCTGTCCTGGAACTCTTTGTAGACCAGGCTGGCCTTAAACTCACAGAGATCCACCTGTCTCTGCCTCCCAAGTGCTGGGATTAAAGGTGTGAGCCACCACCGCCCAGCAACAAAGCTGTCTTTTTGTCATACATAGTTAAAAACAAAATGAGCTCAAGTTATTTCTACCCCTGAAACACTGAAGCTATGCTGGAATGTGACCCCAGTACTTGGGAGGCAGAGACAGGGAGATCTGAGTTTGAGGTCAGCTTGGCCTACAAAACAAGTTCAAGACCAACCAGGGTATAATAAAACCTTGTCTTAAAACAAAAACAAGACCAGGCAGTAGTAACACACTCCTTTAATCCCAGCACTTGGGAGGCAGAGGCAGGTGGATCTCTCTGAGTTCGAGGCCAGCCTGGTCTACATGTGAGTTCTAGGATAGCCAGGACTGTTTCACAGAAAAATCCTGTCTCGAAAAATAAAACAAAACAACAACAACAAAAAACTTTAAAAGAGACAGAGATCCACCTGGCTCTGCCTCCCGAGTGCTGGGATTAAAGGTGTGTGCCACCACCGCCCAAAAACTTTTAACAAAACAAATACAACATTATTGCTATAAAGACCCCTTAAGTAGGTATGAGTGGTGTATGCTTGTGATTTCAGCTATTCAGGAAGCTGAGGCAAGATCTCCAGCCATGAGTTCAGGGTCAACCTGGGCAGCAACCATGGTGAGACCCTATCTGAAAAAGTAATGTCCGTGGTGCAAAACCAGGACTTAGTAGACAGTTACTCCAAGTACCTACTCCAGGAGTGAGACAGGATAGGTAAAGACCAAATACAATGAGAAAGCAATAGCGGGGCCGCGGCAGTGCACATCTTTAATCCCAGCACTTGGGAGGTAGAGGCAGGTGGATTTCTATGAGTTCAAGGTGAGCCTGGTCTACAGAGCGAGTTCCAGGATAGCCAGGGCTATGAGAGAGAGAGTGCTAGAGCGAGCGCATAATAGAACAGCTGCATGACACCAAGTGAGCATTTTCTTCTTTGGGAAAACTATATAAAGTAACTGTTTTTTAAACATCTGATATGAGGAAACCCAGCTCCACAGAGGCCTATGTTAAAGACACACTAGCATTAACAGGACCACTTATACCAAAGGGCCTCTCCTTAGAAGGAAGTGATTGTGACGCTGCCCTTCTTCCTTACAAAGGAACACATCCAGGCAAGAAGTTGGCTTCTCAGGCTTCATGTCTTTTCAAGGGAGAAATGAGCACGCTCTTACCTATAGAACTCTTCCTGAATGGTGGTAGAAAGTTGTTGGTTAAACTGTTCCAGGTCTGCAAAACTCACAACCAGCGTGTTTCTCTCAGGACGAATCAGCTCCTCTGCAAACTGCAAGTATTTAATTTCTCCATCACTACCCTGGAACCTGCAGATACAAAGTCACATTAAACCGAGGAACAAGGCAGTAAAAAAAAGAATCCAGACAGTAGCTAACTTGGTATATTGGTTAATGGGCATCAGCTTTAGGATCAGAGATGTCCACATTCAGTATTTCCAGGACTTGGGGCAAATTATTTACTTTTCTAAACTTTTTTTTTTTCCAAGACAAGGTTTCTGTGCATAGTCCTGGCTGTCCTGGAACTCGCTCTGTGGACCAGACTGGCTCCCAGAGATACACCTGACCTCCTGGATGATTTAACATTTTCTAAACAACAGGTTTTTTAAATTATTGTTATGTGTAATTAAGATCAGACAGTTAAGAAACAGAGTTTAAAAATCCAAGTATTAAATTTCTATTAATCATAATTTAAGAAGCAGAATAAAGAGATCAGGAACATAGTTCAGTGCTAGAGTGCTTGCCCAGCACGCATGAAGCCTTAGATCTAATCTCCAATATCACAAAAAAAAATCTTAAAGCAAGCAAAACAAACAACACTACGCATAGAAATGAGGTATTACTGCAAGAAAATGTAAACACATGAAGTGATGGTGATGTCCCAACCAAAGGCAAAGTAGGCTATCATACAGATTTATTTTCTGCTCTTTTCACATACTATGTAGATCAGGTTTTGTTTTGAGCAAAATTAATTTCTCTTCTAACTACATCAGGCTCAAATTCTTCTAAAATGTTTATTTTAGACATATCCAAGTATAAAGCATTACATGTGATACCTAAAGGCACAGAAAAGGCTGGGTTAGCATTCTTAGGAGACAAGACACAAACAATAAAGAATGTTTCTATTGATGAGAAGTGCCAGAAAAATAAGCCAATTATGCATAAAGGAATATCTATAATAAAGATTCAAATATGTAAGAGGTGGCATTGGAATTCTTCCCTGCAAGTCATTAAAAGTTAAATTTATAAAAAAAAAAAAACAAGTGGCTGGGCTTGGTGGTGCAGGCCTGTAATACTAATTACTGGAGAGGCTAAAGGTAGAAAACTGGAAGTTCAAGGATCATCTGGGCAACGTAGAGGGAACTTTTTTTCAAAATAAAAAAGTCAAAAAAGGCCTAGGGAGCGGTGTGCAGTGGTGTACTCCTTTAATCCCAGCACACAGAATGATTTCTGTCAATTCCAGACAGCCATGGCAACACAGTAAGACCCTGTCAAGTAAATAAATAAAAGGGGGTGATGCTGGAGATATAGTTCAGTGGCAGAATGCTTGTCTAGCATGTATAAGGCCCTGGGTTCCTTCCCCAACACATTAAGAAAACAAACAGGCAACCAAAAACAAAGTGGATGATTTAACCACCTATGGTAACTGATGGTGGTTTTGGAGAATGAAACTGTAATAGAAAATTTAGAAGTAGCTGGGTGGTGGTGGTGCACACCTTTAGTCCCAACCCTTGGGATGCAGAGACAGGTGGATTTCTGAGTTTGAGGCCAGCCTGGTCTACAGAGTGAGTTCTAGACAGCCAGGGCTACAGACAGAAAGCCTGTCTCGAAAAACAAAACAAAAATTAAAAAAGAAAAAAGTAGACTTTATTCTGTAAACAAAAACAAAGCTGCTTTTGTGAAAGGAAGCTGATTTTTAAAAACAAAGTCTTCGTTTATGCTTAGCTTCAACACTTAGCTACCGAGCAAAGGTAAAGGCGCTTCTTTTTTGTTTTGTTTTTTGAGACAGGGAAGGTTTCTCTGTGTAGCCCTGGCTGTCCTGGAACTTGCTCTGTAGACCAGGCTGGCCTTCCACTCTGAGATCCGCCTGTCTCTGGTGATTAGAGGTGTGCCCCATCACCCAGTGAAGGCACTTTTATTATCTGCAGAACCTTTTCAATACCTTGGTTGAGGTGGTAGGATGGCTAGAGGGCTGAGAATGCCAGAGCCGACAGGAGGAAGCCCCTGGAAAACAGGCTTACTGCCCTCACAAGGGAAGAAGCAGCTACTGCCTACTGCCTCAAGGGTTTATAGCAGTGGTTCTTAACCTTCCTAAGGCTGCCACCGTTTAATACAGTTCCTCATGCTGTGGTGACCCCCAACCATACAGTTATTTCACTGCTACTTCATAACGGTAATTTCGCCACTGGTATGAATCGTAATCTGATTATGCTCCTCCCAAGGTGTTGAGACCCACAGGTTGAGAACCACTGGTTTATACTTTCCAAGAGTCTTGAGTTGGGTTGTGAAGTACGAGCAGTTGTACTGACTGCACCAAGAACATTATCAAAAGTAGGAAAATGAATTTTTTAAATCAGTTTTAAGTATAGCAGAATTTCCTAAGACAGCAGTATAATTCAAGTAGCCAACAGGAAGATGAATGGGTTAGCAATATGTGGTAGGTATATACATGCCATGTAATTTTACTCTGCCTTACAAAGAAACCTCTGACTACAATAAGGTGTCTAGCAAAATTAGCCCCGCACACTACGTATACAAGGCATCTATAATCATCCAATTCAGGGATGTAACCGTGGCAGTTGTCAGTAGGCTAGGAAAGGGGCGCATGAAACTGTTTAACAGGTAGAGTTTGTGTGGAAAGATGAGTTTCCAACAGGGATGATAGGGATACAACAGGCTGAAATGCACTTCAGGATGCTACCTTTTGCACACACCTCCAAAAAGTCAAAACAGTAAGTTTTTGTTACATACTGGCATACTAAATAAATAATAACAAGAATTTTGTAAGCCAAGTCAATGTGTGTGCACTCCATACTCGAGGCAGAAGAGTAAGGAACGCACTAGTATGTACCTGCTGCATGATGTAAATAAACCAAGGGGTGGAAGCTAGGAGTCCAGGACCCTAAGGGATGGCAGGGAAGAGGAGAAACGGAGGGAGGCGGATGTCCCGAACAATTCTTTCATCAAACAGGGCAGAACTCACCCCATCGTGCAGTTATCCAGCCACAGGCTCCTGCTAGAACTTTCTCCAACACGGGGTGTCCCAGGCTCGCAGCACCGCAAGCTCTACAAGCAGTCAGTACCTGGCTGTGTGCTCAACCCTACCCTAGAGGTCACGGGTCCCCCCCCCTCAAACCCTGGCCTCACTGGGCTGTGACGTGAGCGCTGAAATAAAACGGCAGGGCTGGGTTCGGCTCCCAGCATCGCATCCGCCGGGCATGGCGATGCCCCTCTGTCATCCAGCACTCGCGGCGTGGCGGCAGGAAGAGCGCTAGTTCAAAATCATCTCTGGCTACACTGAGTTCGAGGAGACCTTGTCTCGGAAAAAGCAAAGAGAAAGAAGCAAAGCACGGCGCAGGGAGGCACTAGGGTGGGGAAATGGGCTCGACGCGGCTTTGGATTCCGGTCCGGACCGGCTCCATCCTTCCCGGACCCCGAACACCCGGGGGCCCCCAGGCTCCGCCAGGCCCTCCAGCCCCCGGAGGCCACTCACTCTTCCAGGAAGTCTAGGAACAGCTTCTGGCACTTCTCGGCCACCTCGTCGCGCACCTCCGGGTGCTGGCTTCCGGCGCCGGGCTCGGCGGCCGCCGCGAGGTCCATGGCAGCGCTGAGAGTGCGAACCGCGGAGGGAAGACCACCGCGGAAGGGAGGCCGCGGCAGAGGAGGGACCACCCGGGCGCAGGCTTCACGCGGTGCTCCTTCCGCGCTGCCGCTCCGCGCGCGCCTCCGCCAAGCCCCGCCCCCCCGCCCCAGCCAATCATGGAGCAGGAGCTGGGGGTACTTCGCGCCAAACCTGTCCAATCAATGGCGGTTCCGTCCAGAGCCCCGCCCACCACACGCGAATTTCGCGCCAAATGCAGACTCGGTGGTGCTTTTTGCGCATGCGCAATGTCGTCTCGCCCACCCTCAGGTTGTTTTGGTTTGTGGAGCTGGGTAGTTGTTTGCGTCTGCGTCGTGGTGGATTTTTAACCTTTTTTTTTTTTTTTCGTTTCTTTCCTTCCTTCCTTTCTATCTCTCTCTACTCTCCCTCCCTCCCTCTTTTTCTCCAGAGCTTATTTACTAAGTAAAGAAAAACAATTCGGGACTGGAGAGATGGCTCAGAGGTTAAGAGCACTGGCTGTTCTTCCAGAGGTCCTGAGTTCAATTCCCAGCAACCACAGGGTGGCTCATAACCATCTGTAATGAGATCTGGTGCCCTCTTCTGGCGTTCAAGCAGAACACTGTGTGCATAATAAATAAATCTTAAAAAGAAACAAACAAAAAAACAATTTGAAGAGTGGGACTCCAAAGAAGGAATACATTTTTTTTCATGTTTTTATGTTTTTTAGATAGTTTTATAGTATTCAGGGGTAAGAATAAGGCACTGGGAAAGAGGAAAAATCACTCGGTTAAGCCTCTCTGAACTGACTGTCTAGCTGGGGGAAATGAACTGGAAACAAACCTCAGGAGAGAGCCCTCTCAAAGTCAGATGGAGGACTAGAGAGATGCTCAGAGATCAAGAGAACTGTTCTGCAGAGGACCAGGTTGGCCTCTCAGCACCTACATCAGACAGTTCACCACCTGTCACTCCAGCACCAAGGGATTTGATACCCTCCGCTGCCTTCTGTGGACACCAGCATGCACACGCACACACACAAGCCAACGACAGATAAATTCTGCTGAAGGAGGAGGCATAGCTTCCGGGTCCTCCTGCCACAGTAAAATCTGCAAAACATTGGACATTGTTGATTTTCACTGAGATAGGGTCTCATGTAGCCCAGGCTTGGTCTTGAATTCCTGATGGGACCATCACATTGGGACTGAACCCAGAGCTTCCTGAGTGCTAGACAAGGGTTAGCGTGCTATTAAATAAGTCACATCGCCAGCCCTTTGATACGCTGGTGTTGATGACCTGAAGCTGTCTTTCACCAGTTCCTTTTTTTCTGGGCCTTCAGGACGCAGTAAACCTGAACCAAAATAAGCAAACAAACATATTTAAAATATCCTTTTAGGGGCTGGAGAGATGGTTCAGAGGTTAAGAGCACTGAATGCTCTTCCAGAGGTCCTGAGTTCAATTCCCAGCAACCACATGGTGGCTCACAAACATCTGTAATGAGATCTGGTGCCCTCTTCTGGTCTGCAGGCATACATGCAGACAGAACACTGTATACATAATAAATAAATAAATCTTTAAAAAAAATCCTTTTGAGGCTTACAGGGTGTTAAAATTAATGCCAGCCTGGGGAGATCAAGTTAATATTTTAATACTATTGTACTGGCCGGTTTTGTATGTCAACTTGACACAAGCTAGAGTCATCAGAGGAAGGGGTCTCAGTTGAGGAAATGCTTCCATGAGATCCAGGTGTAAGGCTTTTTTTTTTTTTTTCATTTAGTGATCAAAGGGGAGGGCTCAGCCCATGGTGAGTGATACTATCCCTGGGCTGTTGGTCCTGGGTTCTATAAGAAAGCAGCTGAGCAAGCCATGGGAAACAAACCAGTAAGCAGCAACCTTCCATGGCCTCTGTATCAGCTCCTGCCCCCGGGATTCTGCCCTTTTTGAGTTCCTATCCTGACTTCCTTCAGTGATGAACAGCAATGCTGAAGTGTAAGCCAAATAAACCCTTTCCTCCCCAACTTGCTTTTTGGTCACAGTGTCTTGTTGCAGCAATAGAAACCCTAACTAAGATAACTATTAAGTTATATATTACAGAGATCTGCAACTGAAGGTATTATCTAACTAAAGGATGTTAAAGCCTTGAAGCCTCGTACGCCTCAGTCCTTCACAATTCCAAATGTAGCCATCACTGTGTGAGTATTGGGGATTTCTAGCGGTACAAAACGGATAGAATGATATCTATGATTTATTAAGAGTAGTGTACAGGCTGTGGTCCAGCTGGGTCAGCAGTGGAATCCAGTAGTTGTTCAGTCTACAACCGAACTACTGATGTCTAGGCTGGTCTTCATTGTATGTTGGAATCCTGAAGAAAAGGGTTCTAAGATCATTAAAGTAATGCCTCAGCAGCAGGACAGATAAACTTGCCAATGAAAATGAGTGCAAGCAGGTCAAAATCAAAAGGCTTCCTTCTTCTGTGTCATTTTAGGTAGGCTGCCATCAGAAGGTGTGGTCCAGCTGTGCAGTGGTGGTGCAAGCCTTTAATCCCAGCACTCAGGAGGCAGAGCCAGGCCAATCTCTGTGAGTTTAAGGCCAGCCTGGTCTACAGAATGAGATCCAGGACAGGCACCAAAACTACACAGAGAAGCCCTGTCTCAAAAACAAACAAACAAACAAACAAACAAAAAGGTGTGGTCCATTTAGGGTGGGCCATATTTTTTTCAGGGTTCCTCTGTGTAAATCTGGCTGTCCTAGAATTTGCTCTGAAGACCAGGCCGACCTCTAACTTAGACAGTGGCCTGCCCCTGCCTCCTAAGTGCTGGAATTAAAGGGTTGTGACTGTCTTTGGGTAGGTTTTCTGATTACAAATGATCCAGATTTAAGGTAGGTCTCCTCACCTCACAGGATCCAGTCAAGAAAATCCTTCATAGGTGTGCCCAGCTGTTTGGGTTTTAGTTGATTCTAGAAGTAGACAAGTTGACAGTCAAGATTAGCCATCACTCTGTGTGTGTGTTTTCTTTTTTTTTTTTCTTTTTGATAAAGTTCCAGGCCAGCTAGGACTACACAGTGAAATTCTGTCCCCTCCAAAAAGAAAATGTTATACTGAGTCTGATAATCTAACCCCAGAAAATTAAACTTGGAATGGTCTCATTTGTGGATACAAATCCTGTTTTTCTTTCTTTCTTTTTTTTTAAGACAGGTTATCACTGTGTTGTGCAGCTCTGGCTGTCTTGGAACTCACTCTGTAGACCAGGCTGGCCTCGAACTCACAGAGATCCGCCTGCCTCTGCCTCCCGAGCACTGGGATCAAAGGCATGCGCCACCACCGCCCGGCATTTTGTTTTGTTTTTAATTAATTTGGGGGAGCATACTGCAGGGGTGAGAGGCAGATATGGAGGAACTGGGAGATGAGTGGGACTGTGGTTCACGATGTGAAATTTCCAAATCAATAAAAAATTATGTTTAAAGTAAAAAAATTAAATCATTGTGCGTATGTATGAATGTTTCAAAGAACAAATAAATTTAAAAAAAAAGAAAGAAATTAAGCTAGAACTGACCTGGAAGCCTCCTCCCTGAGGACACTCTCTGTATGCAAGCTGCCAAGGGAGAAAAGCAATTAATAATCTAAAGTTTGTGAATCATGACAATGACCAGCATTGTAAGATATTCCCAAGGGTGTTACAATAGCACATCTATCTTTCGGGTAACCAACAGACATCTAATTGGACTTAAGGGTCACACAACAGGGAGAGAATTCATGCTTGGTACCGGAACCCTAGGCATCTATTTGTGACTGGTGATGTCACAGATTAGAGGAGAATCTACTGCTGTCATTTTTCTAAACCAGTATGAACTCCCAACTGCAGCTGGGCAGCGGTGGCACACACCTTTAATCCCAGCACTTGGGAGGCAGAGGCAGGTGGATCTTTGTGAGTTCGAGGCCAGCCTGGTCTACAGAGCGAGATCCAGGACAGGCTCCAAAACTACACAGAGAAACCCTGTCTCAAAGGGGGAAAAGAAAAGAAAAGAAATCCCAACTGCATTCTAAGTACCTATCCTTCTATCTGTGGATAAGTGTAGCCCTCAGTTCTCATCAAAGAAGCTTCTTTTGCAGTAGACAGAGACAGTATCCCAACTAGTCAAAATGCAGAGAACAGCTGACCATGAGATGTCCATGCCCAGTCTGTACATCTACAAAACAACCACTCCATTGTTGTAAGGCTCAGGGAACATCATGGAAGAGGAAGAGAGACTGTTACAAGCCAGATGACCAGGACATCTGCTGGGAGAGTCTTCTATATGTGACAGGGAGATAGCTGCACTCATGAAATCTTAACTAGAGGAACAGGAGGAGAGGAAGGAGTGGAAATGATGTAAATACAATATTCATGCCTGGAATTCTTCTTCTTCTTTTGTTTGTTTGTTTTTTTTTCGAGACAGGGTTTCTCTGTGTAGCTTTGCGCCTTTCCTGGAACTCACTTTGTAGACCAGGCTGGCCTCAAACTCACAGAGATCCGCCTGCCTCTGCTTCCCGAGTGCTGGGATTAAAGGCGTGCGCCACCACCGCCCGGCATGCCTGGAATTCTTTAAACCATATAAAAATAAAAAGCTAGTTAAAAAATAAAAATTAATTGCCTGAAGTTCAGAGCCTCCATGGGTTGACTGTTTCTGTTACAGAGTAAGCTCAATCATTACATAGTTTTCTGAGATAAAACCCATCTTTCCTTGGCTTAAGATGGAAAAGGAAGACCTCTGAAGATCAGGTGTGGTGGAGAACACCTTTAATCCCAGCACTGGGGAGGCAGAGGCAAAAGGATCTCTCTGAGGTTGAGGTCAGCCTGGTCTCCA